CAGACACAATTAATCGGCGATTCCCAGAAAATATGGGAAAATATGGGAAGTGGGGGGGAAGACAAGAACCCAGAAAATATGGGAAAATATGGGGACTATTTTTATTTGTGTGTATTTATTTGTGTGTCCTAATTTCCATTTAAACAAGTCTTTGAGCATGGCCATCTCCTAGGTCGAACACCCAGCGAACACGGGGCCCATCCCGCCCGAGACCGCACTCCCGACGGCCACCCCCCGCAGACTCGCCCGACGCGCTCGACAGAGAGACCGGCTGCAGCCCCTGCTCGTCAACGAGAGGCCTCCCGCAGGAGCGGGCCCCGAGCACGCCGCAGAGTGCTCCAAGACTTCCAGAAGATGGTCTCACGCATCCCGGCCGCACACGGAGGAGGAGGAGGAGGAGGAGGAGGAGGAGGAGGAGGAGGAGGAGGAGGGGGAGGAGGGGGAGGAGGACTCGGTGTCCAGGCTCGTCGAGCAGGGAGCGAGGGCTGGAAGCCGAACGTTCTGAGTAAAGGGGCGAGCCGCTTCGCCCCCGCCTTGCGCCGACTCCCCTCGGCCACGTCTTCCGCGCCTTCGGGTCAGATGTCGAGTCAGGCTTCCTCCTCCCGCGGAGCTCCTCTTCCAGGGCCCCCAGGATCTCCGCATCCTCCATGGCATTGCCCTCCGTCGCCGCCCAGGGTTAGCTCCTCCATCACATCTGACGCGAGCGTGCTCTCGACGGGCATCATTGAATCGATCGCGCGCACCAGCTTGTATCTCCAGCTGGCGAGGAAAGCTTGGCTTTGACGGCCGACAGAACCTGCGGCCGACTGTTCTGCAACGATGCGCGAGGGACTGGAACGCTGTGCGCCTGACCGTGGGAGAGGCTAAGGCTTGGCTGGATTGCGTCGCGGCGATCGTCGTGATTACCGTGGTCGACTTGGCTGTGACTTTGGGGGGGGAGCATCGTTACCTCCGTCTTCATTCAGGGAGGCGCCAAGCCCGAGCGGTTTTTGTTCCTCGCCGTCGAAGTCGTCGAGCAGGCCCGCCCCCGGAACATCGAGGTGCTCGAAGTAGTCGGGCCCTTGTGGGCCGTCGAGATGAGCGGGGCCACCCTGTGAGCCTGGAGGCTCGCGGCCGCCTTGGACAGTGGTGAGAGGATTGGGCTTCATGTTTCTGAGTCCAGCCATTGGGTAACTCGCTCTCCTGTCTGGCAGGGAAGCGCCAGGTGACGCCAGTCATGGGTAGTGACGGCCGTGCTGCGAAAGACGGCCGCGGCAGGCGTGCGCCGGCCGTGGCAAGTTCATCGGCGTAGCGGTTGAATGCCTCCGCGATCGGCGTGATACGCCTCTCGCTGATGCCTTGCTCACCAAGGTGGTTTTCAACCGCTTGGACTATGAGCATGCCTGGCTTGGCCTGGAGGACACGGTGGGAATGTTGCAAAAGGTCGGCCTGGGCACGGCACCCACGCGTTGTGGTGGCTTACCGCTCAGGAGGTCTTCGGATCTGTCATCGACGGCTTGGTCGTCAACGAACGTGTGAACGGGCCGACCAGCAGTGGCGACCAGATGGGGCATGGCTAGAGGCCCAGCGCGCCGAGCGGACTGCGCCAGACTGCGCACCCGAACTGAGTGGTTTAGCCGGTGATCTGGGCCATAGTAAACTCCGAGACGGCCCTGGCGACGAGCGGGTGAGCCTAGTGCGAGCAGGCCCGTCTGTGGCAGCATGCACCCATCTGGCCCCAGCGTCTTCAGTGTGCTCCTCGTAGGAGTCATCCTTGGGGCCCGTGTGGCGACTGCCGCTGGATGGGCCGTGGGAGCCCTCTCTCTGCGAAGGCGGCTCGGAGATCAAGGAGCTGGGGAGGAAGGCCACGATGCCTAGTGTGCGGTGGCAGTTCTTTCCATTGTTGCTCGGTGATCAGGATTGTCAGAGCAGTCCTATGGGATCCCCGCCACGGACATTTCCAGACGGCGTGTTCTTGGATGTGTTCTTCTTGGTTGCACCATCTGCACAATGGAGATGGAGAAGAAGAGATGCCGGCCTTGACTTTCTTCTGATGGGTGTGATCATCCCCGCACAGGTAGTTCAGAAGGAGGCCGAGTTGCCGTGTGGTGCATTTGACCTTGCATTTCGGTCTGGAAAGCCCCGCGTTGGCGTAGTAGTCAAGACCCTGCTTGACCGCAGCGACGGCACCAAAGTCGTGTCTGGTGGTAGGAGTGCGCCTCAGGAGCGACAGTCTTCATGACGGGCGGAGCATATTGGTGAGTCCGAGCAGAGCCTCCTTTTGCACGATGGCACTAAGTTCGATAGCGTGCCCAGGAACGACGAGAGCCCAGAGGGCCCATCGCGAGATCCAGGATCTCCCTTGGGGCCGTATGGCAGCAAGCTCCAGGTTGTCGTAAAGGTGTCTTGCTCTCGGGCTTGGCGCTCGAATGTCGGTGCCGGTGGTGCACATGCTGGCAACTAGGGACCTGGTTGATCGAGCCCTCGCGTGGGTGCCTTCCGGGAGCCGCCCGATACGCGGGGTTCTGGTGACAGCCCGCCGTACCGTGGCGCCGGCGGTGGCCTCAAGGTTCAAGGAGGCATCATCTGCTAGGAGAGGATAGCGGAAAGGAACTGGGAATGGTTAGAGGAAAGGGAGAGGAGAGGCTGGAGGAGATGGGAGAGGGAGAGAAGGGAACGAGCTGAGGCGGAGAGGGAGGGACGCCGCGGTGGCCGTTCTTGTCTAGGGCAAGGGGAGGGGCAACGACACAAGCAAGTGTGCCCGCATCCTGTAGAAACCGAGAACGGTCGAGCCGCGCCCGCATGCTGGCTAACTTGCCTGCTTGGCCCGTGAATGCCGGGCAGTGCGCGAAGGTTGCCCCAACGCGTTCGAACATCTCCCTCCCTTCGGCCCTCGGGGCTCGATCTGGGGCAACCTCGGGGGGAATAGGTTCAGAGAGGGCGCCTCGTCCCTCAATGGCCCACTCCTCGCCGATGGGCGCCCGACAGCCCGCCCCGCCCGTGGCCAGGCGGGTCTCCTAGCGGAGGCCTTTTTCGCGGATGCATCGGCGATGCACCGTTCTGGGCCACGGCTCCCCACCCCCCCAAGTTGGTCCCACTCTGACGTTGGCCCTCGCTGGAGGGCCGAGGGCAAGGCGGGACATTGTTTGGGCCGCGCGCGCTCTCTGCATCGCCGATTCTGGGCCACTGTTCCCCCCCCGCCGAGCTTGCCCTGCTCTGACGTTGGCCCTCGCTGGAGGGCCGAGGGCAAGACGGGACCTTTTTGCGACCGCGTGCGCTCTCGGATGCCCCACGGTCGCTCTCGTTGGCGCGCGGAGGCCAGGCCCGCCGAGTCTGCTGATCGCCTGGAGGCTAGGCTCCGCGATCGGCGCACCTCTCCTGCTGCTGCTTCTCCTCGATCGAGGGGGAGGGGGCGGAGGACGGGGAGGTGGAGGAGGGCGACTCAGAGGACGGAGAGATACCGATACCGCTGCTCGTCCTAGAGAGCTGTCGTCGCCACGGTTGGATTATCCTCTGACCTCTAGTCAGAACACGCCCAGGGACAGGTTCAAGGAGTAGTGGTATCGGGTACCGGTTAGTTTCCCCAGCGACGGAGGAGGAGGACGAAGAAAGTGTATGGAGTACGGAGGCGAAAGGGATGATGATGATGATGATGATGATGATGATGATGATGTTGATGATGATGATGATGATGATGTTGATGTTGATGATGATGATGATGATGATGATGATGATGATGATGATGATGATGATGATGATGATGATGATGATGATGATGATGATGATGATGATGATGATGATGATGGTGATGGTGATGGTGATGGTGATGGTGATGATGATGGTGATGGTGATGATGATGTTGTTGATGATGATGCTGACGATGCTGACGATGATGATGGTGATGGTGGTGGTGATGATGATGATGCTGGTGATGATGGTGATGATAATGATGATGTTGATGATGAAGGTGATGATGATGATGGTGATGATGATGGTGATGATGATGTTGGTGATGACGATTTGACTTGACTTGACTTGACTTGACCTTGACTTGACTTGACCTTGACTTGACTTGACCTGCGCTGGATCTAGGCGGTGCCTGGAACTCTTGTGTGGCGGCGGCCGTGTAGAGAAAAAACCTAGCAGCACGAGGACTGGCGCCACTGCTCAAAGGGGAGACAAGTCACACCAGGAGAAAGGGCTTCCCTGTCTTCACTGATGCTGACGCAGAAATGCGTCACGGTAGGAATCGTGTCCTAGTTGTGCCGTCTGGCCTTTGTTGGGCGTTGGTGGCCGCAAGGGTCCTGCAGACCAATTCCACGCTTGCGTGCACCAGGGCCGCGCGATGGCGGGGCTAGGGGCGCGTCCGGGTGTCGGCTCTAAGGTTAGCGGCCTTCTGCGCGACATGGTCGCGCAAATCTGCGACGGATATTCCCTCGCTAAACTCAGGCAGCTCTCATGCGAGCATCGCGGCGCGGCATATTCTGGAGGAGAATTGCAAGTGGTGCGAATCCCTAGGACGGGTATGATAGAGGACGCCAAAGCGAGGGCAAATTGACCCTACGCAGACCTGATGATGATGCCGATGCTGATGATGATGATAATGATGATGATACTGATGATGCTGATGCTGTTGTTGATGATGATTATGATGATGATGATGATGATGATGATGATGATGATGATGATGATGATGATGCTGCTGATGCTGCTGATGCTGATGCTGATGCTGATGGTGATCATGAGGAGGAGAAGGTGGAGGAGGAAGACGACGATAAAGCAGGAGGGGGAACGAGGAAGAAACGAGACGGGAGCGGAGGCAAAGATCGGGGTGAAGGCTTTTGATTGTTTGACTTGGTGGGGGGCTCTGGGGGGGTCTTCCCCCCCCTCGCCCATATGGCGCTCCTGACTCCTGACACCCTTGCCGATGAGAAGGAGCCCGCTGAGGCAGCAGCATCCGGCTCCGAGAGCGACCTCGTGCCGCAGTGCCTCTTCTTCAACGAGACTTCCCACGCGTGGTCTGCGACGGGCGTGGGCCTGAATCTGTCCCGCGGGGCGAACGGCAGCGTCGTGTGCTTGGCGACCGTGGGGGGCGGCGCGTACACCGCCCTGCTCGGGCCAGACGGGGTCACGGGCACCACGGTCGCCTTCGACGGCGCCCAGGGCGGCCAAGACCGCGGTCGGTGAGTGCTGGGACGCGCCCGTCTCCTCACTCGCCGCTCCTACCCACCCGATTCCTTTTTGTTAGAGCAGCAGCCTGTTCGAGCTCGTGGACGCAGACGGTAAGAGAGTGCAGTGGGCGTGGAGGCTGAATTGTGCAGGCTGCGCGACGTAAGCCAGGTTCACGTGGTATAAGATGCAAGTTATGTGGTACAGGTGCGGAGGAAGCTGTGGTGGAAGCTGTGTTGTGCAAGCCATGTCGTGCAGGTGTAAGCTGTTCGATGCAAGCTGTGTGCTGCAAGCTGCGTGGTGTACCGCATGTGTGATGCAAGCTAATTGCGTGGTGCAAGCTGTGCGGTGTAAACTGCGTGGTGCAAGCTTTGCCTTGTACGCTATGTCGTGCAGGTCTGAGATATGCGGTGCAAGCTATGAAGTGTAAGCAATGTGGTGCAAGCTGTGCGGTGCAAAGTGTATGGGGTGAGCTATGTGGAATACTATGTGAGGTGTAAGCTTTGTGGTGCAAGCTATTTGGTTCAAGCTGTGTGGTGGAAGCTTTCTGGTGCAAGTTATGTGGTACAAGCTATGCGGTGGAAGCTTTGTGGTGCAGCCTGTTTGGTACACGCTACGTTTTGCAAGCTATGCGGTGCAAGCTGTGTGGTGCAAGCTATGCCTTGCACGCTATGTCGTGCAGGTGTAACATATACGGTGCAAGATATGTGGTGTAAGCGGTTTGATGTAAGTTACGAGGTGCAAAGTGTGTATCGTCAGCTATATGGTACGATGTATGTGGTGCAAGCTATGTGGTGCAACCTACGCGGTGCAAGCTATTTTGTTCAAGCAGTGTGGTGGATTCTCTGTGGTGCAGGCTTTGTGGTGCAAGCTATGCGGTGGAAGCTTTGTGGTGAAGGCAGGGTATATGGTAAACGCTACGTGGCGCAAGGTACGCGGCCGCCCAGGACCAGAGGCGGCCACCAGACCAGCAACACATACGTAAGACCCTTTTGGTGCAAGCACTGTGTGAGAAACAGCGCATGGACACTTAAACGTCTGGAGGCCCGCGCGCAGTCTCTTTGGTCGGCGCTGAACCCCACTCCCCACACGCCTGGCGACGATTCTGGCGCCCCCCCGCGCGCCTCGCGCCAGGAAAGGGGTGTGGTGAGAGGGGTGCCCAGCGCCAACCGAAGGTTAAGTCGGGCAAGTCCCTCCCTCTACAGGAAGAATATTCAAAACTAGTCAACAAAATAGGCTGGGGACGATTCTTCTATTCTGCACTATGTTTGAACACGTTTTGACAGTTTCCCATTGTTCTTCGAAAATCCGCCTGCATAGGGGGACATGCCCGACCTAAACCTAAGGAATCCGCGCGGACCTCCCGAAATGGACGCCAATGCCGTTGCTGGCCCCTCCAGTCTACACCCCCGCAGGGGGGGGGGCGGAAATCCCAGCACAGCCAAGACCCTGAAAAATAAGGACAACTTCGAGCTCAGGAGGGACTTCGGTCTTCGGGCCGTTCCTTCGACGCAGGTCGCGGAGCCCCTTCGTGGCCGAGGTTCTCCGTGGCCAGGAGAGCTCCGCCGTCCCTCACGCGGCGTCCCCCTTGCGGTAGCACGACGACCGTGCCGCCTGTTTGGGGCTTGGCTGCGCCCTCAGGTGCAGACGTGGAGGAGCTGCGCGAGGCGGGCCCGGGGCTCATCGTGGCCCTTGCCGCCGCCGGCGCGGTGGCACTCCTGGCCACGGGCGGGGTGGGGTGCTACTGTGCGCGGAGCCGCAGCCGCAGCCGCAAGAACGGCCGCGTCAGCGCCGCCGGAGCCGCCGGCGAGGGCGGCGCCAATGAGGACCCGGGCCCCGTCGGCGGCGGCCGGCGGGCCAGCGCGAGCAGTGGTGGCCAGAGGAGGCGGAGGTACGGATACCGCTGCCCTTGCCGAGGTTTCGCCGTCTTGGGCCTCCCATGAAAGCCTTTGCCGCCACGGCTGGATTCGCCTCGGAATTTTGGTCAGAAAGGATCTCGGGAGAGGCCAGGGCAGCTCTGGTATCAGTATCTTTTGGTACGCCCGAAATTTGATGCACACCCGAAAAAGCCCTGGGGGGGAGGGTCCTGTTCGTGGTTTTTGTATACCAGACGTGGCCGCAGGCGGTGGAGTGGAATCTGACTGGGGCGGGGAGGGTGTGGTATGAACAAATCTTGAGGATTCGGTTTCTCCAGGTGGCAGCCTCAGCAGCGCAAGTTTACGCGAGCACTCCTTCATGCGCAGGCTGGCTGACGACCCAAACCTGTTCAGGCTCGCCGGTGCCGGCTCGGCAGAGCCTTCGTCGTTTGCGCCCTCTTCGGCACCGCTGTCGCCCTCACCACGGTCCGCGAGGTCTGGGCCGCCGTCGCCGCCGCCGTCGAGGGGCCACACAACCGAACCGCCACTCACCCATTCGGTGGAGCCTTTGGGGCCAAGAAACGTGTGCGGGGTGTGCCGAAGTGGTTGACATGCGGAGGGCAGAAGCAGGGATGGCGGGAGGGAGGAGGGCAGCGGGAGCCAAGGAAGGAAGGAAGGAGGCGCGGGTCGCTGCCACTTCAAAACGAAGGCCCAACACCGCAGGGTGTTTGGGCACACACAAAAGTGTGCCACCCACCCATTCGCGCACCCACCACCCGACCGAACACCCACCACCCACCCACCACCACGGCCCCCACCGCCGCCCACCAACCCACAACCCACCCGTCACCGTCGGGCAGGGGAGGTTCAAAGGGAGGGAGGGCATAGCTTCCGGGGGGGCGAGAAACAGGGAGGGAGAAGGGGATGAGCGGGGGATGTGAGCTTCGGGCGGGAGAGTGAAATCAAAAGGGGCGCTGCGCATTATATTATTTGACAGGGATGGGGAGTGGTCGATAGGGGACTGGCTGGAAAGGAAGGATGAGCTCATTTTTAGGATGGACGGTCGTGCGGAAGATGTATAACAATCCATATGCGAAGGCACACCGCTCAGTCCAGCCTCGGTATTGGGGGCATATGTCATACGGGGTGAGAGAAGCGGGCATCTACCGAGCCAAAGTACACAAAGCCAAGGCAACGCACGGGACTGCCGCGAGGCGGCCGTGGGCGCCCCTTGGAACAAAACCCCAACGAGGGGATGACGGGGCACTGTCGCCTCTGGTGCTCATCCGAGAGGCCGATGTGTGCCTCATCCCAAAAAGAGGCAGCCCGATGCATCACGTGATGCAGCCCCTGATTGCCTCGGCTGGGGTGCGGAGTGCTGCGGAGTGGCTCCTCTGTGCTTGGAGCCGGCTGGGAGTTTGAGGTTGCCTAGCACTGGTTCCGGCGAGCAGGGAGTAGGCAGGTTCGAGGCGCTGGGTTCGGAAAGGTTCTTTGCCTTCCTGACCGACTTTTGCCCGCTACAGAAATATACACACAGACATCATCCAATGGATTGTCCCTGGGCCTCAGGGGAGTGCGGCCGTGTATACATGTCCACTGCGAGCCAGCGACTTTATACACCGCTTCCCTCACAGAAGGTACATCCAAAACTCGTCGGAGGGCGTCTGTGTATATATTCTCGTGGCGCATATTGGGGGCCCCGACCAGTTCAGACGGACCGGCCGCCTCCAACGTTGTGCCACGGTTTTCCCGCTGAGAGGGTCCTCGCATCCCTCGTGTGGGGGTGGCGTGGGTGAACGGTCTTCCTCCCCCCCGCCGCGTGTGCTGTCTGAGGTCCGCGGGGACTCGCCCGTACTCCACTGTGTACTGGACCATACGATCCTCCTCCTCCTCTTCCTCCTCCTCCGTGTCCTCCTCCTCCTCCTCCTCCTCCTCCTCCTCCTCCTCCTCCTCCTCCTCCCATCTCCGCCTCACCCCTCCCATTCCGGTCCTCTCGACTGCCCGCCCCGCGATGTTGGCGCTCCACTCGCCACGAGAGGCGAGGCCGCCAGCGCCCCCCCCACGCCACGCGCTCCACCGTGCCGTCGGAAGGCCGTCGGTCGGCTCGAGGAGACGCGCTGCCGCGCGTTACGCTGCATCTTCGGGAGACCTCGCCTGTCCCCGAAATTGGTGTCTTTTCTTGTGCCCGACGCGGGCTCGATGCGGACTCGCCGCGGATTTGGCGTGGATTCGACGCGGAGTCGACACGGACTCGGCACGCATCCGACGAGCCCGACGTATGTTCGACACGGATTCGACACGGGTAGGGCCGCGACGGGATTGACCAGGTCCCCCGAGGATGCAACATAACGCGCGTATTCTTCGCTGAGTTGTCCACCGCGCACCTGGAAAGCCGCCCGTCGGCTCGAGGAGGCGTGCTGCCGTGAGGACCCGCGCCCGACCCTGCTCCCCTGACCTGCCAGAGTGCCAGGAAACAGCCCTCCAGACCCACAGGCCCGCCTGGGCCGCCCAGAACCTCGACGGGAGCTGGGGCTGCTCAAAGGGGGAGGAGGAGGAAGGAGGAGGAGGAGGACGACGACGACGAGGAGGGGGAGGAGGAGCAGGAGGAGGAGGAGGAAGAGAAGGAGGAGGACGGAGGAGGAGGAGGACTGGACATGAGGAGGCGGAGGAGGACGGCGGAGGACGGAGGAGGCGGAGGCGGAGGACAAGGCGGAGGAAGAGGACCTGGTCTGTGCCCGCCCCCCCAGGTCAGGGCGCCGCTGGTCCCTGACCACCTCTGTCTCGTCCCTGCGGGGCAGGGGCATGCTGGGGCCGCTCGACGACGCCCCGGCGTCGCCCGGCGGCAGGCCGCCGCCCCCGCCGTCGCCGACCGACGACGCCTACTCGCGGTGGGCCAGCCGGGCGCTCGACCAGATCCTCCAGCGCAGGCAGCCGACCCGCCGAAACCGGGGGAGCTGCGCCCGGGATCTCCGGCGGTACACGACTCTTTCAGGCCGGGCGTCGTCCTGCAGTCAACCCGCATGATCAGGATGGGCAGCCTTCCCAAGGGTACCCTTGCAGCCTTGCGTCTCTGGCCCATCCTTGGCCACTTCCGTTGGCCGCGCCCCGCTCGATGAGCTTCGAAGCGGCCTTCCAAGGCCCTTGCATCCTGATCGCGCATCCTTATGATACGGGCCGACCTGTACGATTTACAGATCCGACGCTCCGGAAAGATTGGAGCGGGCGGTTTGAGGCCGCTTTTCGGCCTCAAGGAGCCCTCGCCAGGCTTCGGGACCGTCAGCAAAAGGACTCAGGACGAAAAGCTGGCCCTGGGGAAGTAGTCTGGACCTCTGGGGCCCACGCACCGACAACAAATAGAGCAGTGGGAGGTCTGGGGATGGCGGCCTCTGGGGCCCCCCGCTGGGCCCCTGTACCGCCAAAAATGGGCCTGGGACACCTGCCCTGACCCTCCAGGGGGGCTGAGAAATAGCACCAGGACTCTGACGCCGAAGTTCCTGTCGCGGTCCTGGGCAGTCCAGATAGGTCTGGAAGGCTATGTTCTAGCATTCTGGAGGGTCAGGGTCAGGGGCCGCGCATTGAAGAAACAGATCGTTGGATGTCTGGGCTCTTGGACCCTTCTGGAGGGGGGGACCCGTCGGATTCGACGCCTCTCCCCAGAGATCGCCGATACGCGGTTGGTCCTTCCAGCTTGGAGGCGGCTGGGGGGTCTGAACTGGTTGGGACCGCAGACATATCGGTCAGGAGGGGGGATGAGGCCAAATCCCCTCAAAATCCGTCCCCGGACCCCTCCCGGGGTCCATGGTGCAGTTTTTCACCCCAGATCCGTTGTCGACGGTCCTGGGACCGAAAATAATGTCCGGAGCCCGAAAACGACAAAAAAATTGCCCGAACCTACAACCTCGAACCCCGCCCACCCTCCCTGCTGGCCAGAACCGATGCGGGGCCATCTCAGACTCCCGGCAACCTCCCCAGACCCCCGACGTAATGATTTTTTCATTACGTCGCCCCCCAAAGGTCCCGACCCTTTCCCTATGACCGGCTTTGCATCCTGAGTCGTTTTTTGACGCTCCCGAGGCCCGGTGCGGCCCCCGGAGGCCGAAAATTAGGAAAAACCTCCCGTCGTGATTTTTTCATTACTCGAGGGGGTCTGGGTCCAGCGGGGCTTCTGGAGCGTGGCTCCCTCCATTGTGGCCGCCACGGCAGGAACAGCCAAGAGCTCCACCCCCCGACCGGCCGCCTCCCCGCCGCCCTCGCGGCGGGCCTCCACGCGCCGCCGCCACCGCCGCCGCCCCAGCTGCCTCCGGGGCGGGGTGGCCTCTCGTTCACGGGGCGGGGTCGAGTCTCGGGCCGGGCGAAAGGGGGGGATTGGGAAAGGGGGGGTTACGAAATTTGCTGCATGCAGCTGGTTTCGGCCTCACCGAGGGGCCCATTCCTCGATACATCGCTCCATCCGGCGCCGGGAGGCGCCGGGAAAATCAGCTACGTGAGCTGATTCTCAAACCCCCCCTTTGCTATCCCCCCCTTTCGCCCGACCCGAGAGTCGGAGCATCGTCGGGGAAGGGGGGGGAGGAGAAAGAAGGACGAGAGAGAGATCGAACAGTAAAAGGGGCATGACCAGAAACGTTGGAGGCTCCGCGCGGATCTCTTGGATCGGTTCTCGGCCCAACTGGCGGCGCCTCCGGCGCCGCCCCTGGCTCGCTCCGCGTGCCAGGGAGGGTGGTCCAGCGCAGAGCCAAGAATTCCGCGCGGACCTCCAAAAGTTCATGTTTCTGAAATCATTTCTTCCTGTGAGAAAGGCCAAAGGATTGTGGAGCATGCGGTCTGTTACACGAGACGTGCAGGCTTTCATGCCCCGTGGTCTCCTCCTCCTCCTTTCCTCCTCCTCCTCCTCCTCCTCCTCCTCCTCATTATCCTCCTCTTCTTCATCATCGTTATACTCGGATGACAGTTATGTGGACGATGCCGTCACGATCTGGATGTTTCCTCTTCCCCCCTCCTCCAGAAAAGTAAATAAACCTGGCGAAGGACCCAACCAGATGCAGTTGTGAGCAACGCAAGTGTGCATATGGTCATCGGTGGAGCGCCCTAATTATGGGGCCACGAAGCGTGTGAGGGGTGTGCCGAACAGGACCGCGGCGGGCGCATGCGAACGCAGCCAGTGGGGCCTACGGTGAAGCTTCCAATGGGGTCACGAATCGTGTGAGCGGTGTACCGAAAAACGGGTGCGGCGGACGCGTGCGAACGCAGCCAGTGGGGCCTTCGGTGGAGCTCCCGATGGGGCCGCGGACCGTGCGAGGAGATGCCGACATGGATGCGGCGGGCGCATGCGAGCGCAGCCACTGTGGCATTCGGTGGAGCTCCATATTGGGCCACCAGCCGTGTGAGGGGTGTGCCGAAATGGGCGCGGCGGGCGCATGCGAACGCAGCAACTGAGGCTTTCGGTGGGGCTCCGTATGTGGCTACGAACCGTGTGCGGAGCGTGCCGACATGGGTGCAGCGGGCGCATGCGAACGCAAACATTGAAGCCTTCGGTGGAGCTATTTATGGGGCCACGAAAACCGTAAAAGGGGTGTGCCGAAAAGGGGTGCGGCGGGAGCCTTGGGTGGAGCTTCTTCTTATGGGGCCACGAAGCGTGTGAGCGGTGTACCGAGATGAGTGCGGCGGGCGTATGCGAACGCAGCCAGTGGGGCCTTCGGTAGAGCTCCCTATGGAGCCACGAACCGTGTGAAGGGTGTTTTGGGGGAAGAGGAAAACCCCCCCACCCACACAAAGCAGATTGAATTGTAAATCAAAGAAGAGGGAAAGAAAGTCTCCAACAGACCGCATACTCCACGATCCCCTGTCTTCTTAGAAAGGACGAGGGATGGGCAACAGAGGGAAGAGGATTGAGAATGCATGTTTCTTTACGTGGCTCTGTAGTCTGTGGGCCTCCTGGGGTGCTCTCGTCGCCACTGCTGGATGAGGAGCAGCTGCATTGGCCAACACGTGGCCTGACTCGTCCGCCGGTCGGGGCCAGTTTTGCCTCGATCCGGGGCTGGGTTCTGCTTCTTCCTCCCCCTCCTCCTCCCTCCTCCCCCCTCATCCTCCTCCTCCTCCTCCTCCTGCTCCTGCTCCTGCTCCTCCTCCTCCTCCTCCTCCTCCTCCTCCTCCTCCCCGTCCACGCGATCCTTCTCCACAGTTTCTCCGTGTGAGGCGCTCCAGAGAGGGGCCCCGCCCTCGAGGACCGAAGGCGTTGCCACCCCCTCCTCGGTGGAGAGGGCGGCGGAAAAGGGCGGCGGAGGCCGGCGGAGGCAGAGCGAAGGCGGCTCCGCCGGCGGAAGCTGGCAGAGGGCCGGCGGAAGCCGGTGGAGGCAAAAGTCGACCTCCCAAGGCGCGGGGCATGGGAGCGTGAGGCGCGGGGCAACGGCTCAGCGGCCGCCGCCCATGCGTTTCCGTCGGTTTTGTGTCTCAGGGCTCCTCCGATACGATCGGTAGCGCCGCGTTTCCTGCGGTAGTTTTCTTTCAGATTGCCCTCGCAAAACTTCCTTGGGAATGGGAGTAGCGTTTAAAAAAGGAGGCAAAAATCGACTTCCCAAGGGATGACAGCATGGGTGGTTCAGGGTATGCCACCTAAAACGACGCGAAGATCGGGACAAAATCGGATCGGGATGACTCGAAGTCTCTGAGAATCGGCGGGTGTTTGGAGGATGTATTGGGCGCCGCGGCCGCTCCAGAGCTTTCCCGAACGCTCTGAGAGCGCTCCGGAACGCTCTGGAGCGATTTATCCCGATCCTAGCCCTGTTTTGCCACCTTCCTGTCTCCCCTGAGGATGGCCTGGAAGTCGGTCGCCCCCCCGCGCGTGGTGGTTTTCTTCACACAGGAGTTCCATGTGTGTGTCGTTCTTTTGTTCCCAGCCATACTGCTGTGTTGTAAGGTGATAAGGAACCAGGCGCCTCGACGGCGCATCGGCGAAAAGATGCCGTGCAGATGTGCACTGGCAAAGTGGTGAGAAACATCGATCGGCTGCGATTCGCTGCCGCAAGTGCTGCTTTGATACCAGAAAAAGCGATAGTACATCCGTGGCGGATGTTGAACTGTGTGCAAACTGCGTAATTGGTTGCTGAGTTTTCCCACGCAGCGTGGCCACATACCACGACGACAACGACAACGATACTGTGGGGTTGGGTCCACGTTTTGAGGATACAGCGCCCCGCGTCACTCTTTCCTTCCTTCCTTACTCCTTCTCCTCCTTCTCTTCCTTACTCCTGCTCCTCTCCTCTTCTGCTTTAGCCTCACACCACGAGCACTACGATTTCAACGAGACGACGTGGCTACATCATGATAAAACGGATGAGTGAGGACTGTCGGGAAATCAGCTCCTGAAGTACACATTGTCCTGAGTAGACCCCCGACGCGCGCAGCTTCTCATGCGAGGCCATGGCCTCACCCGCCTCGCCCTTAAGGGACCCGGGCGCATGCACGCACAGGCGTACCGTTTCCGTTTCCGTTTCCTGTTTCTCTTCGGCGCACCCCTCACACGGGCCGTGGCCCCATAGGGAGCTCCGCCGAATGCCCCAGTGGCAGGGTTCGCATGCGGTTCCACCCCGAAGTTCGGCACACCCCTTAGACGTTTCGCGGCCCCATAGGGAGCTCCACCGAAGGCCCCAGTGGCAGGGTTCGCATGCGGTTCCACCCCCATGTCGGCACACTCCTCACGCGTTGCGCGGCCCCACAGGGAGCTCCGCCGAATGCCCCAGTGGCAGGGTTCGCATGCGTTTCCACTCACATTTCGGCACACACACCCCTCACACGTTTCGTGGCCGCATCGGGAGCTCCACCGAGGACGATATTCACAATTGCGGCACTCACAGCTGCATATGGTTGGGTTCTTCACCAGGCTAAACCCTATCTTTCCATCTGCCGGTGTCTCAAAACGGTGTTGCCGCTGCTGCGTGGGCCTCAGGATGGCGCTCACGCCCCAGCGCCCCAGCGCCCACTGGTGATCCCGTCGCTCAGATTGGCACTCGCGCCCCAGCGCGGGCCACTTTTTGTGGATCCGAGTTCTTCCTCGTCGTGGTCGCCCCGCTCCTTTTCCCATCCGCCGCCTCCCCCCTGGTCGTTCTGCTCCTCCCGGTTCTCCCATTCCAGCTGTTGCTGTTGCTGTTCCTCCTCGTCTTCCTCCTTCCTCGCCTTAGCAATGCAAGTTATGTCAGTATCGGCCGCCGCTCGTGCTGCCAGCCTCACTCTACTCACCACGTGGGAGCCACACTTTGAGCGGCTCCGTGACACTGCATGGCTAGAAAGCACGGTGCATAACTTCCATCGCTGGATCGCGGGCTTGTGGTGGCCCCCTTCTGGGCCCAGCCGCAGGCGACTGTACAATACTACGATCAGTTCCGTTCCGCTTCGCGCACCTCTGTTTTCACGCCGACGATGCTGCGAGCTGCCCTGGCAGCCGCGCAGGAAGAGATGCACGCCGCCCGCACAGCAGACCCACCACGCCGTGCGCATTTTCAGCGCGCGTTCGCAGCATCGCTGCGCCAGTCTGCATTCGCATCACCATTCCTGGTCACGCTCGAGAAGCGATTGGCTTCGTGGGGCCTTCCCTTAGGCACAGACATTTTGGAGGAGCGTTGGAAGGCGCTCGATGACGTACTCGGTTCAGTAAAACCCAGCTGGCGTTGGGCCACGTTCAAGACACTGGCACCGGGCTGGACCGCCTCGTGCCGCATGCACGTACTGGCTCCGCGGGGCTGCATTTTTGGCTGCCAGGACATGCCTGACTCATTCCTTGACTACCTCGCCGGTCCCCGCCTCTTACGCCTTTCTCGGTTCCCTGACTCACCCTCTCTTCTCAACACTTTAACACGGTGGGGCATGGGCCCCTCGGCTGCATATCCCCCAGCGCCCAGCGACCTGTCGCTTCGCGAGACACTTCGCAGGATCGTGCTGGCATTCCACATTTACAACAAGATGCGCGCGGCTGCACCTGTGTCCGAAGCCGTTGCGCTGGCAGCTGCCCACGCTCTCGTGCAGCGCCAAATCAATAGCGGGATGGGGTGGGACTATGGTCAGGGAGGGACTCTCGCCGCTGCCTGTCATTATGCTCGGTAGCGCGCATCGGAACAGACACGCGCCCCCAGGGTACCCGCACCCCTTCCTCGCCTTAGGGGGCGAAGAACGGTACAAAATAAACTTGTGGGCCGTCGGGGGCGCTTGCCCCCCGGCGGCTGCAAAGTGTACAGCCTTACGGTGCCACGTAGGGTTGTGAACTTTCGAGCGCCATTGGAAGGGACGGGTGGGTATCGAGGGAGGAAGAACCACTTGGCGTTTACTGAACGGCCCTGGGCGTTTAGCAAGCCGCCCTGCCCTGTTCAATGTCTTGTCTGGGTGCATTTGCTAAACGGCTTCGCTTGTCGGGGTGCTTATTACGGGGGGGAGTTTCTGCCCACTATCGAAGGGACGGGTGGGTAGGGTGGGATGCCAGATGTGGCGCCACCTCGCCCAGCTTGCCCCCCCCCGCCCCCGCTCCTGCATCCCCCACCCCTCCTGTAGAGCCAAGGCGCTGACGGAAGGAAGGCCCCCTGGGTTCGGATGGGGGGCCTCTGGCTTCCATGCCGTCCCTTAGAGAGATCTGGGTCGGGGGCGGCCGTCCGTGATCGATGCTGCCCGTGGCAAGAGAAGCCCCCTTCGCTTCTCGATTCACTGCTTTGGTGGCCGCACGAGGGCTGTACAGTATCCTCCCTCCTCCTCCTCCTCCTCCTTCTCCTCCTTCCTCCTTCTCCTCTGCTTCCTCCTCCTCCTCCTCCTCCTCCTCCTCCTCCTCCTCCTCTCATCATCATCATCATCATCATCATCATCATCATCATCATCATCATCATCTCCTCCCCCTTCTCGACCTCCTCCTGCTTTTTCCTCCTCCTCCTCCTCCTCCTCCTCCTCCTCCTCCTCCTCCTCCTCCTCATCATCCTTCTCCCCTTCTCGACCTCCTCCTGCTCCTCCTCCTCCTCCTCCCTCCTCCTCCTCCTCCTCCTCCTCCTCCTCCTCCTCCTCCTCCTCCTACATGTTCCTCCTCCCTCCTCCTCCTCCTCCTCCTCCTCCTCCTCCTCCTCCTCCTCCCCCTCCTCCTCCCCCGTGTTCGTCCTCCTTGTCCTCCGCCTGCTCCTCCTCCCCTTGTCCTTCTCCTCCTCCTGCTCCTCCTCCTTTTCCTCGTCCTCCGCCTCCTCCTCCTCCTCCTCCTCCACCTCCTCCTCGTCCTCCTCCTCCTCTGCCTCGTCCTCCTCCCCGGCATCCTCCTCCTCCCCCGCCTCATCTCCTCCTCGACCTCCTCCGCCTCCTCCTTGTCATCCTCCTCCTCCGCCTCCTCCTCTCCCTCCTTCTTCTTCTCTCCTCCTCCTCCTCCTCCCTCCTCCTCCTCCTCCTCCTCCTCCTCCTCCTCCTCCTCATCATCATCATCATCACATCATCATCATCATCATCATCATCATCATCATCATCATCATCATCATCATCATCATCATCATCATCATCATCATCAGCATCATCCATCATCATCATCATCATCAGCATCACCATCATCATCATCATCATCATCATCATCATCATCATCATCATCATCATCATCATCATCATCATCATCATCATCATCATCATCATCATCATTATCATGATTATCATCATCATCATCATCATCAGCAGCATCATCATCATCATTATCATCATCATCATCATCATCATCATCATCATCATCATCATCATCCGCCTCCTCATCCTCCGCCTCGTTCTCCTCCCCGTTATCCTATTCATCCTCTCCCTCCTCCTCCTCCTCCTCCTGCTCCTCATCATCATCATCATTATCATCATCATCATCATACTCAGCATCAGCATCACCATCATCATCCTCATCATCATCTTCTTCATCATCATCATCATCATGAGCATCAGCATCAGCATCAGCATCATCATAATCATCATCATCATCATCATCATCATCATCAGCTTCAGCCTCATCTCCTCCTCCGCCTCCTCCTCCTCCTCCTCCTTCTCCTCCTCTTCTCCTCGTCCACCTTGTCCTCCCTCACTCCCCCGATCCCTCCCCCATCTCTCCCGGCGGCACGCTGCAGGCGCCCCGCCGCTCCCGCTCCCGAGCTGGCGGCTGCCGCCGCCACCGCTGTCGTCGTCGCCCGCGTCGTCGTTGGAGGTGCTGCGTTCGTTCGCCCGCCGCCGTCATGTCGTTCGTCGTCCTCGCCGTCGTCCTCCGTCGCCCCAGACCCCCTCGCGCTGTGAAAAAGTCACGACGGGATCTTTCTCGCTACTTGCGGCCTCCGGGGGCCCTGCCCGGGACTCGGGGCCGTCAGAAACCGATTCAGGATGCAAAACCGTTCTTTGGGGCCGACGTTGTAAAACAAAAAAACAAAAAAAAAAAAAAAAAAAAAAAAAAAAAAAAAAAAAAAAAAAAAAAAAAAAAAAAAAAAAAAAAAAAAAAAAAAAAAACGTCGGGGGTATGGGTCCGTCGTCGTCGAAGGCTGCCTCTTCTGTTCCTGGTGCTCGTGCCGCTCCGCGGGCGCGAGCGAGGCCGGCCGAGGATCTTAGGCTCCTGCTGTCGGGAGCCTCGGGATGGCGTGCCGCTCCCGCGGTCCTGGCCGACCACGCTTTGGCGCGACGAGCTGATCCTGATGGGCCAGTTTTCCACCACCACTACCATAGGTCGGACGGGGGGGAAGGGAGGCTTGGGAGGTCCGTCTTCTCCCCCTCCTCCTCCTCCTGCTCCTCCTCCTCCTCCTGCTTTTCCTCCTCCCCCCCCCCCTCCTCCTCATCTTCCTCCTCCTCCTCCTCCTCATCCTCTTCCTCCTCCTCCTCCTCTTCCTCCTCCTCTTCCTCCTCCCTCTCCCTCCCCCACCTATGGCAGTGGTGGTGGAAGATCGGCCCATGAGATCCACTGCGCGGGCCCCGAGCCCCGAGCGTCAACGCCCCGAGCCCTTCGAGGCCCCCCGCCCCGCGGAGCGGAGCGAGGCGCTCTCCACTCGCAGGGCATAGCATGCCCTCCCTCGGAGCTACCTCGCCTGCATGATGGGCCTGTTTTCCACCACCACCACCACCATAAGTTGGAGAGGGAGCAGGAGGAGGAGGAGGAGGAGGAGGAGGAGGAGGAGGTGGAGGTGGAGGAGGAGGAGGATGACGCCCTCACCCTCCAACTTATGGTGGTGGTGGTGGTTGAAAACAGGCCCATCACCTGCAGGCGAATCCTCGGACGAGGAACCGATCCCACTCGGCGAAGCATCCGAGGAGGAGGATCTTTGGCCCAGCGAGATTCACCACCCACCAAACCACCCCAACCCAACCCGAAGGCTCAGATTTACCCTCGATTTCCAGTGGGGGGGGGGTCGGGAAACATCGAAAAAACACATGTGGAACCCTTACCCCCCCCCCAACCCGAAATTCGGGTCTTCGGGTTGGGTTGGGGTGGTCTGGTAGGTAGTCAGAGACAGCCTGTCAGGCAACCTCCGCACGAGCAGCCGGGCAGAAGTTCCACGCCCGTGTAACTTCTCATCGCCGCTGCAACGGGAAAGCAAACCAAACAAACAATTGCCTGGCGAAAAATCCAACCATCTGTAGGTGTGGGCGCCGTCGTCGTATGCACCGCATTCGGTGGAGCTCCCTATTCGGCTGCCAAGCGTGTGAAGGGTGCGCCAAAATGAGTGCGGTGGGTGCATGCGAACGCTGGCATGTGGGCCTTCGGTGGGGCTTCCCATGGGGCCACGAAACGTGTGAGGGGCGTGCCAAAATGGGTGCGGTGGGCGCATGCGAACGCTGGCATTTGGGCTGTCGGTCGGGCTCCCTTTGGGGTCACGAAGCGTGTGAGGGGTGTGCCGAAATGGGCATGCGGTGGGCGGGGAGGGCGCATGCGGACGTGGCCATTGGGGCCTTCGGTGGAGCTCCTTATGGAGCCACGAAGCGTGTGAGAGGTGTGCCGAAATGGGCATGCGGTGGCTGGGGAGGACGCATGCGGACGCGGCTACTGCGGGCTTCGGTGGAGCTCCTTTTGGAGCCACGAACCGTGAGAATGGACATGCGGTGGGCGGGGAGGGCGCATGCCGACGCGGCCACTGGGGCCTTTGGTGGAGCTCCCCTTGGGGCCACGAACTGCGTGAGGGGTGTTCCAAAATAGACAAGCCGTAGGCGGGGAGGGCGCATGCGGACGCGGCCACTGGGGCCTTTGGTGGAGCTCCCCATGAGCCACGAACGGTGTGAGGGGAGTGCCGAAGTGGGCATGCGGCGGGCGGGGAGGGCGCATGCGGACGCGGCTACTGGGGGCTTCGGTGGAGCTCCCTATGGGGCCACGAAAGGTGTGAGGGCTGTGCCGGAATGGACATGCGGTGGGCGGGGAGGGCGCCTGCGGACGCGGCCACTGGGGCCTTCGGTGGAGCTCCCTATGGGGCCACGAACCATGTAGGGGGGGGGGGGGGGCGACATTGACATGCGGAGGGCAGAGGCAAGGAGGGGGAGGAGGGAGGAGGATAAGGAGGAGGAGGAGGAGGAGTGAGAACGCGGGGCGCTGTCTCTTCAAAACGAGGACCCAACACAGGATGGTTGGGAAAAGCTTCAACAAAAAACTTGCAAGGCGTAGCGTGTCGCCAGGGCCGTCAGGGCGTCACATTGAGCAAACGTTCCCGACCGTAGAAAGTCCCCGATCGCGCTCCCCTCCTCCGATCCAATCGCATCTGCCCGTCCGAGGCCCCTGATCGCCCCCGGCCAGGCCGCGGGCGAGTCGGTCGCCCAGGCTCCAGGGCGACCCGAACGGGTCCAGAGCTGCGAGTAGGAGGCTTTTGGCGAGGAGGAGCAGTCGAAGAAGACAGGACGCCATACACGATCTGACGTTTCGGAAACGGCCGATCGTTCAACGGTGAACGATCCCCGCGGTGTCAGGAACCAACGCCCGGGTCGACACGGCGTGAACCCGCGGTAGACTTCTGGAGGTCCTCGCGGAGTACTTGGATCGGCGTTGGAGGCGCGCCAATGGCGGCGCTGGAGGCGCCACCATGGGGGGGTCCATCGCCGATCAGAGAAATCCGCGCGGACCTCCGAAAGTTTGTGCGTATGGCGTTTTTTGTTCTTCTCAGCTAGGGGCAATAACCAGCAGGAGACGACCATGAGCAGGAGGAGGATGGCGAGGAGGACGAGGAGCAGCAGTCGGAGAAGAAGGAGCCCGAGCAGGAGGAGGAGGAGGAATAGGAGAAGGAGGAAGAGGAGGAGAAGGAGGAGCGAGCGAGCTTTTGCTGGACCCGATCGGGATGCCTCCGCAGTTTCCCTTCCCGCCGCCTCCGCGGCGGCCACCGCCGCTGGCTGTGGGAGGAGGGATCGAGTTGCCGACCAGCAGGGCCCCGCCAGGGGTGCCGCCGGCTGCGGGCCTCGGCCAGGCTTCGGAGGGGGGTACGAGCTGGAGTGGTAGCATGTCAACGGATGTGGTGGATAATGACGACGGCGACGCTGATAATGAGGTTGGTGGCGACGACGACGAAGATGGTGACGGTGATGGTGATGGTGATGGTGTTGGTGATGGTGATGGTGATGAGGGTGGTGGTGGTGGTGGTGATGATGGTGGTGGTGATGGTGATGAGGCGGAGGAGGGTTATGGTGGTGATGAGGAAGGCGGTGAGGAAGGCGGTGATGATATGTATGATGGAGATGGTGATGGTGATGGTGATGTTGACAATAACGATGATGAGGATGAGGATGACGATGAGGATGAGAAGAATGGTGATGATGATTACGACGATGACGACTACGACGGTGATGATGACGATGGTGTTGATGGTGATGATGATGATGATGATGAGGAGGAGGAGGAGGAGGAGGAGGAGGACGATGGTGATGGCGATGGCGATGGCGATGGTGATGGTTGTGGTGGTGGCGACGGTGATGGTGGTGGTGGTGGTGGTTGTGGTGGTGTTAGTGATGGAGATGATGGTGATGCCGTTGGTGTTGTTATTGATGATGTTACTGATGACGATAATGACGATTGCCGATGACGATGGCAATGGCGATGATGTTGAGCATGATGATGATGGTGATGGCGGTAATGACGATGGCGATGATGACAACGTCGACGATCATGATGGTGATAGTGATGATGATAATGGTGGTGTCGGTGGTTCTGGTGGAGAAGCACGTGCACGGGTCTCCTCGTGGCCGCTTCTCGGGCAACGCGTCCACCAGGGACTTGGGTAAGGAAGGGATCAGGAATGTAGGAAGTCGGAGTCGGTTATCCCTTGCCGTTTCTAGCATCAGTTGTTTAATATCTGTCTATACTTGTGGTGCTATGGACGTAGCTAACCCCAACCCCTATAGGGGTGCCCCCTCTCGTGCTGCTGGGGGAGAAGAACCGGCGGGTGCTGGGGGAGGTGCGCCTTTGTTGGTGTCTCACGGGTCTTCTTCCGGGTCCTTTGCCCAGATTGGGGGCGGGAGTGCACATCCCCTCCAGGGCGATACGACGGCGAGGGCGGTTGGGCCTCTGGGCCTTTCTCTTGCCTCGTGTCCTGAGAGGGCAGGCGGCTTCGCCTCTGGCCCCAGCGAGTCGCAACGAGCGCCTTGTGACACGCGTCGTCGGTTGGTGCCCCCATCGGGCCTTCAGAACACGGTACGGCAGACCAGGCGCCTTGAACGTAAACAGCGAATCCGGAAATGGAAGACGATACGTAAAGCGAGGAAGTCTCGAGCGAAACGGTGTCGTGCATTTCGCCGCTTGTCTCTGTTACGCACTGCCAAGAAGAAGAGAGGCTCGGAGGAGATTTTCCTCCGGGGTGGAACCTGGAACACGCGCAAACTGGGATCGAGTCGTGGTCATGAGCCATCCCAACTAAAAGTATAATGTTTTTAACCCTGATGGCAGTTAGGCGGTGGGGGGTTGCTATGTTTTCAGGCGTCAATGCTCATCAAAATGGGGTCCAGGAGTATGATGTCGGAACGGAAGTGTGGACCTTCACCATTCGTGGCAGGGTCTGTGTGGTCCTTAAGCAACGTCTCACTTCTCACTGCATCGCGGCGAGCGGGCGGATCGAGGGTGGTAGTCAGCGGGAAGTGGGACAGGAAGGGGATTAGGGTCATGGGAATTGTGTTACCTCGGATGGGCTATCCCAGTGGGATGTCCTTTGTCTCGTGCTACGCCCCCGTCTCGGGCACTGCCTATGAGGACGCTAGAGATGCGTCCAAAGCAGAGTTACGACATGTTGAATCCCTGGTGAGAGGGCACGACAACTTGCTCATCGTGGGAGGCGACTTCAACGCTGAAGTGGGCCGCTTGGGAGGTGGAGAGGTGGGGGAAGGTTTGTCTCAAGATATCGTGAACTAGGGCACGGTCCGCCGCAGCGCGACCGGAGCCGACTAACTCTCTTTCTGTTCATCGGTGCAATGGTTTGTACTAAGCACGGCGTACCAACAGAGGAGGAGGAGGAGGAGGAGGAGGAGGAGGAGGAGGAGGAGGAGGAGGAGGAGGAGGAGGTAGGAGGAGGAGAAGGAGGAGGAGGAGGAGGAGGAGGAGGAGACACCGGTGGCATCTTCGGTACCACGCCGGACACCAGCTTGACCACATCTTGGTCCGATCCGGCGACAGGCGCCACTTTGTAGATTGTCGCACTTTACATTTTGGTCCAGAGGGAGGAGGAGGAGGAGGAGGAGGAGGAGGAGGAGGAGGAGGAGGAGGAGGAGGAGGAGGAGGGGGGAGGAGGAGGAGGAGGAGGAGGAGGAGGAGGAGGAGGAGGAGGAGGAGGAGGAGGAGGAGGAGGAGGAGGACCCTCGCGACGACGCCGTCGACGTCGTCGACAGGCCACGGAACCAACGGTGCGAGAGGATGGGGTGATAGCGTTGGCGTCATATACCGACCATCGTCCTGTGGAGGTGGGGCTTCGCTTGGAAGGGCCCTGGCCGCCTCGGGGTCGGCTCGTCAGCAATCGGCCCCCTACTCCTAACTAAGGAGGGCTTTTGTGGCCTTCGGAGGTAGCGAAACAGAAACGGGATCAATATGGGCAGCTGATCACTGAAAAGCTCCGGGCCTTGCAAACTGAGGCTGCCTGGAAGCAACTGCGCGCGGTTGCGCGGGAGGCCGGTCTCGAGGCACTGGGGCCGAGGGAGAGGCGACATCAGGCCCCCTGGTTACAAGGTCACGAGGCAGATAAACAAGCCCTGGACGCCGCTGTTTCTGATGCGACTGAGGCGTTGCGCGCGGCGCCTGTGGTGGAACGGGCCGCGGCGCTCGTTGCTAGGCGCGCGGCAATCCGCACTCGCCGGAGGCGACTCCGGCAATGGGGGCGGCGCTATTGGCAGGGCGTCGGAGAACGTGCTAGCGCTGCCGCGCATAGTGGAGACCAAGGGGAACTGTTCCGACTCTTCCGGGACCTCCGACTCCGGCGAGGGGATCGGGGCGATTCGGGCCGCTGGACAGCGGAGCGCGCGGAACACGAGCGGGAGTTATGGAAGGAGCATTTTGCGGCCATTTCTGCCGACGTGGGCGCGGTGCCCGAGCGCGTGCGGCGGAGTGTCCCAGAGGCCCCCGCTTCGGCGGCATGGCCAGACGCCCCGCCCGCGGATGTGGACTTGGACGCTGGTGTGCGTAAAATGCAGACTGGTCGCCAGCCGGGCGAAGATGGCTTTGTTGCTGAAGCCCTGAAGTATGAAGGCGCGGAACTTCGTGGGGGGGGGGGTGACATCGCGCGTGCCATGTGGGCTCGGGCCACACAAGGCGATGAGGGAGAGGAGGGCTCGACCTGGCCACAGGAATTGCAAGTGGGCCTCGTCGTTCCCCCGTGAATCGAAGGCTAAAGGGAATCGCAAGGACAAAAATACTTGGCGCGGAATCACATTATTGTCTGTGGGCTCGAAGTTGCTGGCTCGGATCGCGGCCTCTCGTCTCTCCCAGTGGTCGCAGGGATTCCCGGGCGAGGAACAGTCGGGCTTTCGCCGGGGAAGGGGCGCCGACGATGCACTACAAGTCACGCGCCGGCTGATCGAGGAAGCGGCGGCACTTCGAAATGGCGACGTTGCCGTTTTTTTACGTTTTTTTTGATATTGAGAAGGCATACCCCTGGGCATGCAGGCCAGCCCTGCGGCGATTGTTGGGCCGACGCGGTTGCCCGCTTGGTTTCCTGAAGGTGTGCGAGGCCCTCCACGAGCAGACAGGTTACCGAGTTCGGGTTCTTGGGGGCCGGTCCTCCACTTGGTTCGGGGTCCGAGGGAGGGGCGCCCCATCGAGCCCTCCCTTGTTCAACATGTACCACGATGCCGTTCCTAAGGGTTACCGGGGCCGCAGAAAGCGCCGCGCCGAGACGGCGGGGGGGCGCCGGGCTTACAGTGGACCTACCTCATAGATGGGCGTCTCGGGAAAAGCGCCCGGACCCGGGGCCAGGGTCGAGGAGAGGGCGGCTGGGCTGCTCGTCAGAGGCATGCGGTCATAGGAGACACCGGGTTTGCGGATGACACAGCCCCGGCGGGCTTTTTGGACGAGATGCAAGTTGCAGAGCCTCTGTTTGAGAGGGCCATGACGGACTGGGAGGAAAAAGGCAACATAAGTAAGAAGGGAAGTCTCCTGGCGAGTGGAAACTGGAGGGCGCCAGTGGATGTGCGGAGACAACATGAGGTAGCATCGCTGCGACCGGCATACATCGCGAGACGGGCCGCTGGGCAGCCGACGCCACGAAGCGCGTGCAGGTCGGGAACACCTTCGCGCGGCAGGATTTTGCGCGTCTTCAGCGGGTGGTAAATTACGGTGTGCGCCGATCGCTCGGTATGGACATCGTGTTAATGAGAGAGCATCACGTCTCGGATGCTGCCATGAACAAAGCCGCACAATGGCGCGCAATAGAGGACACCATGACTCGCCTTTCCTTGCAATGGCTCGGGCACGCGGCCCGCAGGCCCGTTTGGAGGGCCCCTAGGCAAGTCCTTTTTCGGGTGGCTCGACCCCCGCCGTGGCGGGCAGGAACAGAGCAGCCCCCACGCCCAGTCGGCATTTTTACGACGGGGTTTACGTAGGATCGAGATTCACGAGATCGATTGGTTTCGCCGGGCCCCAAACCGAAAAGGTTGGAAGCGCAACGTCGATTCGGCGTTTGCCGTCGGAGTCCCCACCGCCGAACACCGACGCGCCCTTCACCGCTGGGTGCCGGGGCGGCCGCTCCCGTCGCCGTCGGCCGGGGCCTTTGGGGGGCCGCCTCCGCCTCCTCTTCCTCCTGCTCCTCCTTTTCCTCCTCCGCCTCCCCCCCCGGCCCCTCCCTCCCCCCCTCCGGCGGACGACGACGGGCATTGCTGTCCCGCGTGCCAGAGAGTGTTCGATAAAGGGAACCAGCTACAGCATCACTACGATGAGGCACACTCGGTCCGCGACCCCCATGCATCTCCCACCAGTGCCCAGACTGCAAGGAGCATCTGGGGTGTGACGCGCGTCGCCATAAGCCCAAGTGTCCGGCGAGGTTGGAGCTTCAGGAGGCTTTGCAGACGCAGTCCGGGTTTTTTCTCCTTGTGGTCATGGGTCCGCACGTGGCGGCGCCGACTGCGTGGTGGGCAGCGACAGATGGGTCTGGCCAGGATGGTAAAGCGGGCTGGGGCGCGGTGGTCTGGCGGATTGAGGACGCGGGGCCCCCCGGGCTAGTCCCGGATTGTGTCCTTCATGTTCCTGCTGCGAGTCGGGCGCCGGGCCCCAGCCACCTCGAGGTGGCTGGGGGCCCGGTGCCAGACATGTAATACCGCAGAGCTTTCGGCTATTGGCGCGCTGATGCGTTTGTTGCTTGAGGAGGCCCCTGACGATGGTCACGCGCCCGCACGAGCGCGGCATGATTCGGAGTGCGCGGCAAATATAGCACGCGGCCTATGGGAGGCCAAGTCGAATGAAGAGCTTGCTGCTTCAGCGCGGAGCCTCGCCACACGGGCGGGGGAGAACCGCGCAATTACGTGGGAGCGCGTGTACGGGCACGCCAGGGCTCATGATAATGAGTTGGCGGATAGGGCGGCGGATTTGGGGGGGCGCGGGCGTGCGTCGACGCAGTCCGCCCGGTGGATGGCGTCTCCCCTGGCGGTGGCCGAGCTGCACTGGAAGGACGTGGACTATTGTAAGAAATTGGGCTTAAGGGTGCTTAGCAAAGATTTGCAAGGACACATGGCGAGGTGCACGGTTGCTGGCTTTGCCATGGCAGCAGGCATGGCGCGGGGTCGAAAGTGCATCTTTTTTTGTGAAGGAGGGATGCCGCTTCGCACATGAGTCGAAGTGCAGGGGGTGCCATACTGAACCGGACATGTTCTAAATGTGCTTTGGTGTTTCCTCCGCCGCCTCCGGGCTTTTTCTGCCGACCCTCGGGCAATCGTGAAAAATTGTGTGCCGAGGCCGTTGCGGCCAAGGCCGAGGCGGGCGGTTTGGCCCTGGGGGCCAACGCCAAAGCCAAAGCGGCGCTCCGAGCAGGAGAGCGGGTCCAGCGACGCCCAGCGGGTGCCAGCTAGGAGCGAACCTTTCTCGGGAGGGCCCGGGGCGTGTTTTGTCTAGGGGGTTGGGGGGGCGGGAGGGGTGGGCGCGGGGGGGCGCTGGTTTCGTATTGTGGGCGCTTTGTTATAGCGCTTCTGCTCTGCAGCTGACGGCAGCGCCCCGGCGGCGACTGCCGCGTGACGATGCCGGCCCCGAGCCGTGCACCGGGGGCGGCCAGGGCAGGGTTCGCCCTGCCCATTGCTGTGCCAACACGAGCCCCGAGCTCGTCAATTGGCCGCCCCCCGGCACCACTGCAGGGGGTCTGTGCGAGGCCGGTGCCCTGCCTGTCGCCTCCTTCTCCTTGCCCCCCCCCTCTTTATTCGTGTTTTCGTTTCTTCTTCTCCTTCCTTCCGATGCCTAGCGGCAGTTCTGTGTTTTTGTGATGTTCGGTCAGCAGGCCCCCCTCCCTGGACTCTCGTGCGCATTTCAGTTGCAAAAAAAAAAGAGGACGACCCCCCCTTCCCCCTCCCCCTCCCCGGCCCCTGCTGCTGGTACATGCATGCATTGATGGTGTTCGCCGCTTCCAGCAGCTGCTCACCGTTGGCCCCCGCCCGCCGTTCGACTCGGCTCTCGCCCGAAGGTCCCTCGTCGCCCTCGGCGGGCTGGGCCCCTGGTTGGGGGCGGGTTGGTGGGGTGGGGGGTGGGGTGGGGGGGGGCTGGGGGCTTTTGTTGGTAGGGCGCGTGCGAGCGGCCTTTGGGCGGCAGCCCCTACCGCCTAGTAGGTGCTGTCCAGATTTGTGGTGTGTCAGTGCACAAGTATGGGAGCCCAGCAGCGCCGTGAAGAGACGGCCCGCCGCCTGGCGGCCCTGGAGGAGCGCCAGACAGACCACGAGTGGCGCCTGGGTCGTCTGCAGAACCAGATGGGCCAGGTCTTGAAGAGCACGAGCCATGTGCTCGAGGGGTTCCCGTCGGTCGAGCATGCGTGGGCGACCCATGGAGAGCAGCAGCAGTACAGGGAGCTGCGCCAGGACACGCCGGAGGCCTTGGGGCGCGACGTGGCGGCGCACCTGAATGCGGCGTGGCCCTTGCCCGACCGGTCCGCGGACCCGCCCGGGCCGTTGACGACCGCGGTTTGGCTCCGTCTCCTCCTGGAGGAGCTCGGTCAGGAGAATGTGGCGCGCGCGGTTTTTGAGCAGCGCCGCTGCGACGCCACGGCCGGGGCGCGTGTGAGCATCCCGGGGGTGTTCAAGGTCTTCAAGATCAAGTTGCAGTTTGGCGCGGCGTCGCTGGGCGCCCAGCAGGCGATCCAGGCGCTTGATCGCCCGCTCCGCCAGGCCTCGGGGTTGGCGGTCCTGGGGGTGGCCCCAGCGGCCGCGGCTGCAGGGGCCGCCCTGGTGCGTCGTTTGATGTACCTTGAGAGCGCGGGCGAGGAGCGCGAGCGCCAGGGCAATAGGGCGCGGGCAAGGGCAAGGCGTCAGGCGTGATCCAGGGCAAGGGTCGCGGCAAGGGTAAGGGCAAGAACGGCAAGGGCGCCAAGGCCAAGGTTGCGGCGGCCAAGGCAGGGGCCGGCCCGGCGCCGAAGGCTGCTGCGGTCCCGCCCGCCGCCGCCCCGGCAGCCGCCGGAGGGGCGGCGGGGGCGCGGCGGCTGCGGCGGCCGCTGGGGCACCAGGGGGCCCCGGAGCCGGAGGCTGAGGTGTGAAACGCTCCACCGTCCCCGGATACAGGGCCCAGCGGGGGCGAGCGTGTGGAGGAACCATAGGCCGTGCATGACGCTGGAATTCATCAGGGCCCGCGTGCATTCTTGTATCGAGCAGCCATTATTGTTCTTGTCTCAATGTGTGTGACTGCGTTGTTTTGGTGACGAAGTGGGCGGGGAAGGAGGGTCGGGAGGGCAATCGCAATTAGGTGGTTCCAATGGTACACGGACCACGACCGGTGGTGTTTGGAGGATGGGGGATATAAGGGAGGAGTCTGTATGAGTGCGTTCTCTCTTGGTGGTTCTCGTCTTTGGTATTTTTCTCCCTCTCCCCTCCCTCCCCCCTCCCTTGACCCCCTCCTTCTCCCTCCCCCGGGTGGGCCACCTCCAGGTTCCTCCCCTCCTGCTCCTCTGGGCCCCCGGTGTCTCCCCGGGGGCGCGCTCCTCATCGCCGCCGTCCGTCGTCCTTTTCCCCCCCGACCGGATGTTTTAATGGTCCGCCGGCCGCCCCTCGGGCACGTCGTGGCCTTGTTGAGGGAGACGGAGACGGAGACGTAGACGGTGGCTTTGGCGGTGGTGATGATGGTGATGGTGATGGTGACGGTGACGGCGGTGGCGACCGAGATGGTGATGGTTATGTCGACGCCGGTGGTGGTGATGATGATGTTCATGTTGCTGGTGATTTGAATGTTGATGATGCTGATGTTGTTGCTGCATGTGATGGTTTCCGTATTACTACTCATGTGTATGGTTGTGAATGATATCGTTACTCGTCGCATTATTGTTCGTAGTGTCCATACTAGTTAGATCAATCGTATTGTTACTTGTGTGACGTAGCATTCCTAGCGTTATTCGCATTCGTATCGTCATTGGTTTTATAGTATTAGCTTTCCAGTAGTTTCTCGAATTGTAGTGCGCATTCGCATTACCATTCATAGAGATACGATTATTATTACCCGTATTGTTCTAAGCGTTTTGGGTTCGCATCGGCAGGCGGCGCTGTGGTCCCTCGAGGCGGGGCCGCCGCCGCCGCCGCCGTTCGGCGCGTCGGGAGGCGCGGCGTCAGGAGCCGCGCGGGTCCCGGCGAGGGACCTCCTCGCAGAGGGGCGCCCAGGAGGAGGAGGAGGAGGAGGAGGAGCGGCCTACCTGCCTCCCTCGCGCCCTCCTCCCTCGCTCCCTCCTCCCGTCCCTCTTTCCGCCTCCCTCCCTCCGCCCGCCCTCTTCCCTCCGCCTCCTCACTCCTCTCATCTTTCCGGCTCTTTCCTCCTCCCTCCTCTTCCTTCTCCTCCTGTTCCTCCTCCACCTCCTCCTGCTTTTCCTCCTCGTGCTCCTCCTCCACTTCCTCCTGCTCTTCTTCCTGCTCTGCCTCCTCCTCCTCCTCCTCCTCCTCCTCCTCTTCCCCTCTTCCTCCTCCTCCTCCTCAGACCTGTGTTTCCGGAGGGAGGCCATTTTAGCGTGCAGCGTCAGGATTCCCCATCCTCTTCCCTGCATCTCGCCTCCTGACAGATAGCGACCTCCCCACTCTCGCTCTCCCACCCCGCCCCCTGTCCGTATTTCGGAGTGGGCGATGCGTTTCGCTTGAGATATCCCTCCAGGTTGCTACCCTGAAGTTGAGTCCCCATCAGCTTCAAGGATGGAGGACTAGTCGTTTCCAACATGCGGTTCCACCCTCCGCGGTGCACACATCGATTCGAGTGTTGAGCAACAGTCTTCAGGTATGCAGGTCTGGCGGTTTTCAAAATATGGCGTTCGCCGCATCGCCGGCCACATTCTTCGCGATCACCTGCGAGAGGACGTCCCGATCTAGACTTTGCTCTCTCGAAGGGAAAATCGCCGTCCACGTTCTTCTGTGCAGCTTAGCACAGGTCCAATGATGGAGAGTGTTTCGCTTTCAACATTTGCCCTAAAAAGCTTGCATCAGTTGCAGAGGTTGCCGGCGGTCCCTTCTCAGAGCAGGACCCCCCGCGTCGGCGCCGCGCGCAGCCGCGTTGTAAAAAGGTGCGCAGCAGCTTCAGGGACGGAGCGCTGGTCCTCTTCAGCGCCAGAGATCTCGCTAGAGACATATCCACTGGTCGTTGGAAGTGGGTATGGTTGGAATCCCAGGTTCCAATCTACTTTCAGCGCCCTCTACTTCAAGGGTCGAGTGGCTTCCCCTCTTCCCTCCTCGTCAGGGGGCGGGCGGAGGCCCAATCTACTTCCAACGCCTCCTTACTTTGTGCGCGAATTCGCAGGGAAATATCGAACCACAGGCGCCGCTTATGGACATCCCTCTCAGCTCCCCAGTGCCGGGGCAGCGGAGCATCTTACGAGGAGCTCTTTGCAGAGCACGGAGTGTGAAAGGAAGAAGGTGGCTAGCACTGGTGCCCTAGAGGTGCGCAGCAAGTCGCGCCTGGAAGCGTTTCTGGAGAGTGGCCCCAGGGCGGGCAGGCGTGTGGAAGGCCTGTTGGGGGTCATTCCAAGTGGATTTTGCTTTTTGGAACATGTCGAAAAATGGTCTGGGTTGTTCCTGGATGTTACTCCGAGTGAGAGCGAGGCTGGAGGCACTTTGTTGGTTCGCCGTGATACTTGCGGCGAGCGCGGCTTCGCGATGCTGTGAGGGGTGTGGGCTGGCCGAAGCGAGGCGCTGCGTGAGGGTACTCCTCCGGTCGGTGCGCCGCACTGGGGTCGAACGGGCGCCTACACTTTGATGGGTGTTACCAGAGCCATTGGTCCCCGTGCCCTGGTGGGCAGGGGGATACGCGTGGTGGCAGGAAGCGCTGGGTTGGGGGGCCAGGCGTGCCGCGGCAATGGCCAGCCCAGGGGGCTGGGGCGACGGAGCTGGCCGATCGGGCGCAGTCCGCGACCCCTCGCCTACCATGCGCAGGCCTCTCCCAGGCGGATGGCGCTGCTGGCGCAGATGTGCCTTGGGATGTGGCTGTCTGCGTCGTGGGGGGGGGGGTACGGTGGGGTCCGTACTGCCTCCCAGGAGGTCGATTCCAGTGCTGTGCTGCGCGTGTCGCGGTGGATTGCTTGCGGTGTGGTCCTGGTGGACTTCTACCTCCTGAGTCTTCGACGTCGCGTGCCTACTTTGCTGTGGAGGCGGACTGTCGTCGTCCGCGTCGTGGACATCCTCGTCTTGGCAGCCTGGTGTGCGGGGTGGGTGGGTCGTCATTGCCGTTGTCGAGCCGGGTAGGTCCTCCTTGCCACCTTCACGGTCGTCGGGGAGGGTGCCCCGTGAATCGCGGAGTGCATCGTGCTGTCTTGCCCCTGGAGGAGGAGGAGGAGGAGGAGGAGGAGGAGGAGGAGGAGGAGGATGAGGAGGAGGAGGGTGAGCCTTAGCCTTGGGGCATGGATGGGCCACCGGGTCGGCCTGGTGGCTCGCCCCCGCTGCCCCCCGTGGTGAGCGGGTTGGGGTTCGTTCGGTGGGGCTCCGACCTGGAGCATCCCGCTCGCGTGCAGGCGAGCGGGAGGGCTCGGCGGCGGCGGTCGCGCATCGCGACGTCCTGCGGTACGGAGTGCAATGCGGGCCCTGTTGTAGCCAGCCCATCGGCGTGGCGGATGAAGGCTTCGGCCGTCGGCGAGATGCGTACCTCCGTCGGCCCTTGGCTCCTCGAGGCGGTGTTCGGCTCTGGGGGCC